AATTTTCGAAGCAGTTATTTCAGAAATCTAAGTGCAACAGTTGTTTTTCCCAGAAGTTTAAGAACAGCAAAGCGCCAATAACGTTTACAGCTGAAGGAAATGCAAAATTTCGGTTTAAAAGGACGGAAATTCTTAAGCGGTATATTTCCCATCTGAAAGACTTCGCTGTTAGAATTTTAGGTTTTTTTTTTTCTTCTCTTGCTTGGTCTTATGAGGATCGAGAAATCAAAATGGCCATAATGATATTGGAATATATAAGAAAGGTGAATAACGCCACAGTAATGACATTTACATCCCATCTGTTTTATTTTATGCTTTGCAAATTGTACTGTTTTTATCAGCAAATTGCGGTAAGACCCTTCCATTTTTTTTAATTAATAAAATTTTAGAAGATTAATCGTTTTTCCAGTTATGGAAGTCTTGTTTTCACTGGAATTACCAATGTAGCCTGCTCAATCAATCCGACGTATTACATGCAGAACACAAATTAGAAAAGGTTGACAATGTTAGTTATTAATCCAGTGATCTTGAATGCCTGATTCACCCGGTATTTCTGACACGTGATGAGGAAGTATATCGATAATACATCGACGAGGTCATGTGTGGCTCACAAATTACAATGGCAAAATTTATTGTCAGATTAGATCCCTTGATAAAATCATTATTTGATTAATTACTAGAAAAGAATTATTAGTGAAGATTTGTTATTAACTAAGTTAAAGTGTACAAATAGTGCAGGTGAAATGACTGAAATTTCAAAGTAGGAAAAGTTTACACAAACATATTTAAAGACTATAGCGTAAGCTATGGCGCAAAAATAGCTAAATGTACTTTTTATTGTGTCCTTTTCAGATTTACTATTGTATGAAAATTCGTCTAATCAGAAATTTGGTATAATGAGTTGTTAGAAAAAGTATGGAAATTTCCAATTAGTACTAGACCTGAATGGAAGAATTAATCCGACAACAATGTCTATTGATTGTGCTAGTTCAAGTTGAGAATGGGAATGTCGAGACAATAACAATTATTATTATCATCATAAATGTCTCTTCAAAATTTAGGTTTTCTTGGAATCCGTGAAATACGCTTACCTTCTCCACAGAAATAATTTTCTGCTCTTAATAGGCATGAGAATTTCTTGTTCCGTTTTGATATTTGGAAATAAAATTTCCAGTCATTTCAAGAATGATTTGAATTTTAATTTTATATTTATCCATGGGAATGCCCCTATTATGAAATTGAGCCAAATTTTTCCTGATGAAATTAATAGCTATTGATAGCTACCCACTTGCACTTTTTTATTTCTCAGTTGCAATTATAAGCAAGCAAGAAATTCATGTATAATCAGGTCAAATGAGAACTCACACATTCTAAGATCGTCCATTATCGTTCATATTCGCTCGTGGTGTCAACATTGAATTTCCGCAACACAAAAGGAATATAGCTTTTTTTTCTTATTGTGCATACAATTTCATGATAGCTTGGAGGGATTGCATATAACAATCACATAATTTATATTAAACTGAGGAAAAGTGATTGGAACATCAAATTGTCATCCAAAATTGGAATTTGAAAAAGTCCCAACAAAATCCCTGTATAGTGCGAAAATCATGTTTTGCTGAAAAGGAATTTTTGATTCATAATGTTGAGAAACAAATGTTATCAACTTCCCAAAATTTCATCACACCCACTAGCAAAGTGAAAAGTGTGTGAAAATATCCACGGCATTTTTCTTAAACAAGACTAAATTCAATAAATGTAGGCTCAAATGATAAAATGGATAAAAGATTTTCCTACCTAACTCTAATCGGTTGTTGCCAAACAATTAAAAAAACGATTAGAAAATATATAGCGAAACAGATGTAAATGAGAATAATTTATATTTTTTTTTTTCAATGCAATTTTTTTTCTCACAGTCTATCGCATTAAACTGTGTTCTACAGATTTTTGTAATGTACAACGAATAGAACTAAATCGATCATTATGACTATTTTTCCGGTCCTAATATTACTTTTCATTGATGTGTAATTACAATAAGTGATACCTCCTATAAATATATTTGAATTTACTCATCAAAACAACATCCAAAAGATTATTTTACATTCAAGACTTCCAAACATTTACCACAAAGCACCATTTTCCTGTTGACAATGCACTTTTGCACCTCATTCGTAAATAACAGCAATTATGCAATGACAGTTTATTATTTGATGACTCGATCATTAAGCTTGGTGATAACCTTTTACATATTATGGATCATAATATATCAAATTAGTCTATATCAAATTCTTGTCTGGACACTCAATAGCATCCTTTGTTATGACTTCAACGATTCTCTTCAAATTCCTTAGAATTTGAACAAACTTTTCTCGCAATTTGGAAAATCAAACCTCATTCATTTTGGGCAATAAATCGATTTAGATAAAAATTAGAATTTTCAAGTGACATTATCTGCACAGCAGTGCTTTGAAAAGTATGTCAAAATGGTTTTTTTTAATTTCATGTATCCTTATGTTCCAATGAATCATTTTTTAAACTCATTTTGTTGCTGAACAGCAAACAACTGTACAGTTGTTTGTTATTGTCATTGTTTTAGAACAGTAACGATAGCAGAAATGTTTCAATCACTTCGATTTGTGCTTTAGAACAAATCACTTGTACCTAAGGGCACCTCTTTCATTACTAGGTCGAAGAACACTCAGGCTTGCACCTTCCTTGTTTATTAGATACAAAATGTTAACCCCTCATTCATTAATTTAAAGAGTGTTATGATTTTTTCATGCTGACTTAATGCAACAGATGCTTAGTTCACACAATCATCCGTGACATTCCCACAGTGCAGAGTTTTGCACGAAAACACCACAAAGAATTCTTCCGAACTTGATTCTCAGTTGATGAACTACATGATCAAAGTTCTGTTTTGAATAATAGGGATCAAAGAAAACATGATTGAGTGGATCGAATCCTTCACTTTCAATATTAAAGACCGTTGCAGATTTATGTTTGTTGTATTTCATCCAAAGCTAAAATTTGACTTTAGGGTATTTTATCTGAATGAAACAGTTATGGCATTTCAAATTTAAAAATTTGAAATTTGCGCAATATGGCTTTTATTGTTATCAGATAGATGCCTTAGAGATTATAAATGTTGATACGAAATGTTTGGCCTTTGTGAGTGATATGCATTCTAAGCCAAGAAAACACGGCTGGTATTTTCGTGGAAGTTTGGCTGGATAGGGGTTGTTCAGTCAGTTGGTGGAAATATGGATAATACATCTACTCATTTCTTAAAAGTATCATAATGATACCAATTCGAAGTTAATTTTAATTGTTCAGTTTTGAAAATCTGCTGGAATTTCAAACTAGTGAATTCATATAAATAAGAAGCTTATTAGTGTTGATAGGCTTTGAAAACAAAGTGTCCAGCGCTGTTCCTTACCATGTTATTAACACAATCAACAATTTGACATAAACAGAGGGAGTTAATGAGTGAAGAAAGCGCTTATTATTCATCGTTAAGTGGCACCAGAACTGTCAGTCATTTGGTAACCATCATATTGATGCATATCTCTTGTTCTTCAGCAGAATTTTTTTGCTGCTTTGTGGTACTTTTATTTAGTAAGTTTTTAACAAATAGTTGCATTCCTGTATGTTCGTTATTGAACATTTATTAAGTTCATTAGTCGGAAAAAGTTTAAAAAAGTTCAGTAATTAAGTTGAGATATATTTCAGCAGGCGTTATTTATATCGTTTTTAATTTGGCAAGTGGTTCATTTGATACGAGAAACTTAGCTGAACAATATTTAGAAAAGACTTTGCTCTTTTTGGTGAATGAAAGAAGGTCACATCAAGCCTCGACAAAAGCATCAGTAACAATCGCACAATGCGTCCCATCCATACATACTTCCTGCTCTCCTATTGCTTTATTGTGCAGCTTGTTACAGTAACAATAACAATTGCTCAGGATGACGAAACACTGTATGCAGTTTTTGGCTTCATGAACAAAAATGTGAAACGTACTTTAATCTATAAGCAAAAGCTCTTCTGGACCTACAATGTATTTAACCCTAGTAACAGGAAAGGAACCTTGGAATGGACGACAAGAGCAGCTTCGTGATGTTCCAAAACAATATCCGATTATCTATAGGACATTGTTTTTAGAATTGAGACCGTCTTACTAGACCCTGAAGCTCGAGGCTATCTCAGAATAATTGAAAAATAAAAAGATGCTCTCCAAGTTCAAAAATGATCGATAATAGTCTTGAGCAATACCGATACAGGGAGAGGTAAGACATGGAAAATATAGATCGTTTTAAATTTATGTGCTCAGTTTGCAAATCATGATTAATCAATACGCTATTGCCAATAATTACTTATCTCCACTAAAAACATTGTTTCAGAAGAGAAAAGCGTGCGATACGTAATGCTTTGGTGCGCTTCGGTCGATCGGGTATAAGAAACGCCCTCGTCAGGTCACTTTCAACTAAATCATTGAAACAAAAAAGAAAAAACAATAATTGATGCTGTGTGAAAAGTGGACAAAGAGGTCTGACTAGGAAATTGCAGCTTTGCGGAAAAAAGGCGCTATTTGTCATAAATGGAGGGAGAAGAATTGAAGATTTACTTAGCTTTAAGGCAAGAAACACCAATACCCCATCGAAAAATTAAACGCACTCAACAAAAAGACATGGACTATCGAGTTTATTCATGAAGAAGGCATGTCGCTAATGGAGAGTGACAACATTCAGGACGTAACATATGCGCTCCTCAGTGGAAGTTCGCAATATTCTCAATTGAACTATTTCTTCTGATTAGACAAATAGGCCTCGACTGCTTCTTATAAGCGAGGGTCAAAGGTCAGGATCCTACAGGCATCCTTGAAGCTTCCAAATCGTATACCTCCATTTAAGCATTAATTCCTTCTCATTTATACACTAGACTACCGCATTAGTTCCTTCCTATTTATACACTAGACTGAGGGGTTACACTTGATAAGAATTATTCAAAAAAGATTATGTATTTTTCCTAACCCTTATTAATTTTTTTAGGTTTGGGAAGCGGATGCCTAATATGCGTTTCTCAGATGCAGAAAATAGACGAGCCATTGCTTTGAATCCGTCTGGTAGATTTTCTTTTTGTCATCTGAAAAAAAATGATTAAATTACTTCCAATATAATGTAAGTTGTCAAGGATAAACTAATAAGCTGAACTTCATGTAAAACCAATCTTTTCACTTTTTTTTTAAAAATAATACTGGAAATACTACGATGTTGATAAATCGCATGAACAATCATTTCCATCGAAATTTCAGTACAATTTGATCATAATGGACGTTCGAATCATATGAAAGATATTCTTTCAAAAATTTAACGATTACAGCACGATGATAATTTTGAGTTAAATTCAATTGATAGTTGAATCCGAATTGAATTTGCTATCCGACGAAGTCAAATTATGATATCCCATGGATCATTCAAGCAAACAAATGTTTCAATGCCGTACTTTATTGGGAATTTGTTTAAAGTTGTTTTGATTGCATTGTCCATCCACAGCACATCTGCAAAAACGTCCAGCAAATTCCCCCGAAACAGTTATTCAGCTGAGACTGAAATATATTTCAAAATAATTTGCTCGCAATATTTTGAGAAAAATTTTTCAACTTGACCGATATTATCAATCATTTGAATTTATTAAGTGAAACTTGGAAAAAGTGAGCAGAAATTCCTGTGGTAACTTAATGTTCTGAGACAATAACGAGCGGAATATTCAGAATATTTAACAAAGAGATTTGAGCGTTAATGGACTTTTCGACGGAGCCTTAAAACTTTTACAAAGCTGCATCGCTGGGTCATTCATTCATTGGATCAGTATCTGCTATATTCACCAAACGTACCAAAAATTACTTCAAATATTAGCTCTTCAATTTATTATTTTCAAGCCCCATATCTGTTTTCCAGGATGTAGTTCCCATGATAGCTATTTTTGTTCTTTTGCACGAGTAAGATATGATATTCGATATTTTTGTTCTTAACTGTGAGAGGTGATAAAATGAGGTTATTTTGCAGTTGACAGGTCCTTCAGATCTGCTAATGAATAATAGTTTGCCCCGGAATACTTTCATTAAAATATATATGATGCGAAACACAGCGCACATTTCTAATTCCGTTATGATTGCAGAATAACAAATTAATATTTTAGTACATCTAATATCATTTATCACATTTCCGAAAACTTCAGATTTTCCTTTACCTTATTTGAATAAATTGTTACACTTTTATATCTCCTCTGTTCTGCAATTTATCTCAGGGATTATGCGGTTGACACGTCGAAGTGTTGAAAAAATGGTTCTAAAGACAATAGGATAGGACAGTATTGTACAATTTTAATGAAGTGGAGATAATCATCAATTAGATAGAGTAAGAATAAATTTTAAAGATTAAAAAATGATCTACAAAGAGAGGGTAGCTGGATTCATATCGCTTTTCTGAATTATCTTGCAGTGTGTGTTCTTCACTTTGTTCACGTATCCCGATATATTATGCCGATTTTTAAAATCAGAATTGGAATTTAAGAATGTGAGAGCTTTGTCTCTGCTGAAAATTCTTCCTTTATCAAAGAGTTTGAATTACCCACAGATGTAAAACAACCGCATTTGTTATATCTGCATTGAAATATGACTACCTATTTCTACTTCCTTTTCAGTTTTTTTAGCGTTTTGGTTACGGTGAAACGAAATCGAATGCACTGTGAACTGACATTTCCTCAGGACTGAAGGAAACACACTTCATATTTTATCACAGATCAATCAAAGGGAGGAAAGAATGGGCGTATTTCCTTAATTTATGAGTTGCTAAACAGGGAAGTGCCATTCCCCAGAAAAACTTTTACCCAAAAGTCTTTCCATTACTTTGTTTGATTCCTGAGAATTAGAACTTAGAGGATCCCTATCAAAACGGCTTGTTTGACGTTGTCAAAGTTTCTTTTTTCCCCTTTTTTGTAGACACAGTAGGATATTGATGATAAACATTTACTGATAAACGGGGGAAGTTATAAGGGAGTTATCGTAGAACACCGAACGGAGAATTGATCACCAGGTTGTTGAATTGACATGAATCGAAAGGGACTGCTGCCTGATGGATTAAGTATATGACTACTGAGTGAAAAATTGAATCCTGGATGAGAGTTTCTCCATTTATATAGTGGACGTTTATTTACAACATTGAGCCACTGACCTTTGTGTAGT